GAGATTTATTTGGAGTATCTAAAAGTACGGTATCAAGAGTTATAACAGTAGTTTCGCACCACATAGCCCAATTAAAAGACCATCACATTTATATGCCAAAAACGGAAAGAGACCTGAAAAGTCCCAGAGAAACTTTTTTTAATTAGTTAAATTTCCTCGATTGATCGCAGCAATTGATTGCACTCATGTAAAAATAATTTCTCCAGTAAAGAAAATCCAAAAAATACTTCTCTCAACCTTTTTTTATATACTTTATATACAGGATGCAGAGCTCCTGGAAAGGATATTTTCCATCAACGTCCAGACGTTAGGTGATAGTAATCACCGCATCATAGACATCGTTGCACGGTGGCATGGATCCACTCATGATGCTACTATTTTCCGTAACCCTCGGATTCATTGTCGATTAGAATCTGTAGAATTTGGTTCTGGAATAGTAGTTGCAGTTTATCAAAATAACCACTTCGTGATGACGCCACTAATGCATGTCAATACGAGTGCCGAAAATCTTTTTAACGAGTCTCATATAAGAACTCGGAATTGTATCGAGCGCTCATATGGGGTCTGGAAGCGTAGGTTTCCGGTATTATCACTGGGCTTGCGCATGCATTTAGAAAAAATCCAAAGCATTAGTCATACAATAAATAATGTTACCAGAAAATGTTTAATAGATAACTACTTCAGTTTATTGTAGTGGTTTTTCTCCAAATTCTAGTTTTGAGTTTTTTGGTATTTTCAGCTTGCTAGGATCATACGAGTATTTGTTCCAAAGCTGGTTTGATTCAACGTTTAATGTAACGTTGTCGGATTCTAAAAGATAGATTTCTTTGTAATGATTCTGGTATTTCTTTTACTTTAAAATTCTTTACCATTTATTCCTTTATAATTTTTCACTTCAGTCGTGTTTTCGAAATCCACTATGCTTTCTAATGTATCTTCCTCCAATACCACGGACTCTATTTTAGAGAATTGATAAAATCATACATTTGAAATATCATGAAAATAAAATCAAAAAACTCATCATCAATACTTACGGCAATTACATCATTGTCATACACACTCTGCATGCCACTAACTTGCTTCTCATGCAACACTGTCAAAAGTTTTTCATCAAACTCAGTTAACAATTTCTTTGATGGTTTTCCTCCTCCAGTTAAATAGAGATATCTTTTATCCTCTGCAACTCGCTTTTTTACCTCTCTTTTCAGATTGAGATACTTTTTCTTCAATATTTTTGCACTGCGATGGCAGCCAGATGGACACTGTGAAGTGAAGTCATATTCGATACGCTTCCATGCGGCATCTTTTTTAGCGTTCGTGCAAGTGTCCGTCCGCTTGAACTCGATGACAGCTTTATATTTCTCCACCAGTTCCAATAGCTGCTCCAACTCGCTTGCGGTGAAATTCGGGGTCCTTTTCTGGGTTTCATCCATTTATGTCATAACTTTCCTTCCAAAATTTATACGTTGTCTATAATAATTTAAATATTTCAATCATATGTTTGTGGATGACATTTGTAAARCATATGTTGCCCACAACGTTGCCATATATCATTATAAAATTTTAAAGATATTAAGCATTGACTGTGAAACGCAAACAACTACTCAGTTTGCAACAATGCTTAGCTAAGATTTTATTTAGGCACAACTTAAGTATGGACTGTGAAACCGGGCATTAAAGCTTTAAACTCTTCTGTTACAATCATACGTTCCCCACTATTTTGATATCTAGTAGATATCATTCCAATCTGTAGATAGCCTGGCAAAGTTTACGGCTACTTGCAACTAAATTTTTCACATACTCCACAGAAAGCCACCTACAGGTATCCTGGAGTAGCCGAATGCTATCTTATATTGACATTAAATGTTTTTTTTTTTCATATTTGGGTTTCATAACAACAATATGTTTTTCTTGCTACTCATGAATGTAGAGTCTGCTCCTATGGTTCAGATCATTGCCTTCATGCAGTATCCAATCATAGCATTTCAGCTGACTTCAGTAAACTCCAGGAGAAGCCTTTGATGGTGCTTAACAATCCTTTGAAAGTTTTGTCTCATCTGTTAACATTACATTGCTACAATCACGTTTGATATTTACCTGCGATTTTTGAACACAGTACTACTGCGTTTGATGTTAGATCTCTAAGCTCTGTTCTATATTATATATAGAGGTGAAAGTCTCTAATATCTTCTTCTTCTTAATTGGCGTAGATACCGCTTACGCGATTATAGCCGAGTTAACAACAGCGCGCCAGTCGTTTCTTCTTTTCGATACGTGGCGCCAATTGGATATTCTAAGCGTAGCCAGGTCCTCATCCACCTGGTATTTTCAACGGAGTGGAGGTCCGCCCCTTCCTCTGCTACATGACCGTAGCCGCTGTCTTTTAATTTGCTGAACTATGTCAATGTCGTCATATATCTCATACAGCTCATCGTTCAATCGAATGCAATATTCGTCTTGGCCAACGCGCAAAGGACCATAAATCTTTCGCATAACTTTTATCTCGAAAACTCGCAACGTCGACTCATCAGTTGTTGTCATCGTATAAACCTCTGCACCATATAGCAGGACGGGAATTATGAGTGACGTATGTCCTCTCTCGACGAACTGGCTTTTGTTAGGTTTTTGTTCGACGAGAGAGGACTTTGCTTCTCAATTGCCTACTCAGTCCGAAGTAGCACCTGTTGGCAAGAGTTATCCTGCGTTGCATTTCCAGGAGTCTTTGGAGGATGGATTCAAGTGTAGAAGTTCACGCAAGTGAGGAGAGTTCTCTGATCGCTATTCACTTGGGAGAGGCCAAAAATTATTCTTTTACATATGACTCAAGCAGCTCACGACTTCCGGTCCTTGACCAAGTATCTTCTGGGTAGCCCAAGAACATCCGTTTGAAGGCGAGCTAAAGTGACAAGGCGAAATATCTCCTGCATATTGTTGAGCGCTGAGTTTGGGACCCGCCACGTAAAAAAACACCCGCAATGAAAAGGGAAGTCTCTAATATAGTACCTTAAAAAAGCTACTCTTAGACTGAGCAGTTGTTTCTTCTCAAAAAGAAGAATAGTTGCACTTTAAATTGCAAGTGATGCCTCAATTGTCTCGGCTTTTCATCTCCGATTCCAGTTTCTTCATAATGGTCATACCACCTTTTCATTATTATACTCCTCGTATTTAAATATTTTGCAGTGAACCTGGTTTTTTCATTTAGCACCCGTCAGAGCCATCACAATTACATGACTATGATTTCATGATGATATGATAAATCAATATATCGCGATACGGATGTTGTTGTTGGTAATGCACATAATTAATTTATATACATATGTATAATATGTACAAGTATGGCGCAACCCTTAATGTGAGTATAATTCATGAGAATCATAATTGAATGCTTGGTTAGTAGATCCAAATGAGGTTTTTAAAAAATATTTTCTTATCTAGAAAAAACCAACGAATATTATTTTACTCTTCAGGTTAATTGATAAGATAGGCAACGGTGAGTGTATTGGAATTTTATCGGCTACTAACATATATGGACATACATACATATGTATATATGTGTATCTGGCAAATAGTTGGTTGAGGTTGTTCGCGGCTGCAGTTTGAAAATGGGAAAGCCATTGATTTAAATTGGATTAGAATTTCGGTAAAATTAACAAATTCGTTTAATTTCAGTTATTAAAAGTAAAATTTTACTTAACACTTATCTGAATAACATTTCTTCTCTATAACGGGATCTTATTAGCCAGTAAATGATTTTAGACAAATTCAGAACTCAGATGGTCAATATTCTTTTTCAGATGCTTTATAAGAAATATATATGTTCTTTGCATGAGTCTGCAATTCAAAAATTTGTTTTATCCGCGTTCTTCTACATATGATTATACAATGTGCAGACCTCCGAATAGAGTAAAAACGCTAATGTTCAGTATAAAGCCAATAAAGAGTTGCATTTTTCGTTCAAAAAACGGAAAATCGGGTGATGTAACATCTCAATTTTAATCATCGTTTAGCACGTATAAGTGAAAATCAACAAAAATAATAAAAATACCCAACGAAATAGCAATCTGGGGTCATAATTATATTACATACATGTGTAAGTACGTACATACGGAAGTATGTGTGTTGTATATTCGCACACAGGTGATTGGAACGATAATGAAAAATGATAGTCGAATCGAACTGACAATGATAAGAATTCTCTTAGTCACAATTTTCAATGTTTCTAAAGTTGTCGATTTTCCAAACTAGATTCCACAAACAGTTGTGCTCTCGATTCCATAAAGTTATAGCAAATATAATAGATAGATTACCTGCATTCGTAGAAATTTTTCATATCTGAAAAGTGAATTGACACTAAATATTAGGTAAATGACCGTTACGTTAATATGTGAAGAAAGTGGTTATACTGTTAACATCTAAGTGAAAAATAATTAATTTAAGAAATAAATTTAAATGGTGACATATAATATTTATGAAAGAGTAAATTGAAACCATTACTTCATTATAAAGCAATTTTATTGGGCCTCTATAGATAGGACAACAATGACCCAGTAAATAGTGCAAATATATTCTTACATTAAGATTCATGAGTTTCTAATCAGAAAAGTACCACACTTAACAGATATTTAATTATCTGCTATTATATTCTTTTTCTTATATACTATGGTGATCAAATTGAAAGGTTAATTTTGTCTATTTCGTCTCCTTCAAAGTAATTCCCTCCCGCTGCAATACACTTATGCCAATGAATTTGTTGAGTATTCTTCGATTCAGCTTTTATATCCTCGATTGAGTCAAAACGGTGTCCTCGGATTGGTCACGAGGATTTGTTACCTACTTACAGAAAAATTTACCGATTCGAAAAACACACGAAGTATAAATAAAAATTTACCTTTAAATTTGATCACAGTAGTACACGTACTACATAAAACAATTAACTTAATATATGCGTAAATCAAATGCTTAATAACTTACCTACCTCAGAACGATAAATTATATGCCAAAAAGTAACTAGTCTGAATAGTTGATTAAAATTACTTTATACTTCTATGCAGGTATGTATATCTTATACTATATATTAAATGTTAATATGTAAATTCGGTTCAGTTAAATAATCTACATAATTTCTTAATTTAAAGGTTCGCAAAAAATCAAATATTAAAAGAAATTTACAATAAAAATCTCATATATAAGTTAGACCCGATCCTGTCAGGATTAAAGTAAATATATCGAAATTCACAAAACATTTACTTTAGTAAAATATGTCGCAAATGGCATCTTGGTTTAGACAAATTTTGAGAGTTTTTACTTTAGTTGAATATTACACAATTACGTATATTTCTATATACAATTAAATTAAATTACTTATTTTTTAGAATTTAAGTTCCGTTGAGTATAGGTTCTATCTGGGTAGCTTAGAAGTTTCATAGGTATGAGTCAAAAGTTAAAAGGTCAGAGAATATGAAGATGAAGATGACAGAAATTTTTAGAGCGAAAAAAAAATTACTTAAATTTTTAAATTATTTTAAACAAAAATATATACTATTGGAAGGAATTCCTCCAATGTGAATACACGAATTATATAAATTTATTTTTCAACCACTGGCAATGCTGTAAAATTTTAAAACAGATATTAAAATTTATTGAATAAGTGCGTGTATTCTTTATAAATTGGATTTTCGAAAAAATATGATATTCAACTTTTATTTCATTATTGAATTGAATTCCGTATTTCTAATTTCAAAATATGATTCTTTGTATATATTATAGTTCCTGACATACATACCTTGCTGTACTGATCATGTCCTGAAAATTTCTTCAACTTTAAATATTTAATTGTTATATCTTGTTTTAACTAAAGATGTTTACTGTGAGTTAAGTTTCTGTTTAATACCAAAGATTTTCGCGGTGGTTCATACCCTTTTGTTATAAACTGTTTATGTTTGTATGTATGTTTTCATTAAAGTAAACAGTGACATTTGGCGTTTTTAGAAGTAAAACTCGTGCACTTAGTGCATATAGTGGACGTGTTTTGCTTTATCATAAAGTGGATTAGCGCATTATGATATGCGCAACCCCATATCCGCAATAAATGGATTTCCAAGTTTTTGTTAACTTTTTCATTATATTAAATTTAACGCATTTGGTAGAGTTTATACCCTATTTCAGTTAATAAAGTTTTTTTGTTAGAAAAACATCGGAGACGAAGTAAAATCCATATCCCGTTTTGTCGAATGAATGTCAGAGGTTTTATACTCTCGAGAAATAATAAACATTTAGATAAATTAGTGCACATGTTCCTGGGCGCCCATGGGAAGTTGGTATTGCATACTGCTACGCCCAAAAAATACCATTAAGCGAAAACGAATAAAGTGCTACAACTAATATACAAATACATATACATAGTTAAAAATAGTAAATTGGTATAGGTCAAAATGTTTAATTACACTTGATCTTAACCATTTTTTTCTTTAAATTATGTTCAATGTATGTATTTTGAATATCGTCATTTATTAAGAAAATATCATACTTACATATTAATTACAAAAATATTTTTACATAACTATATTTAAGGCTATGATGGTTCAAAATAATTACGGTGGCAAGTCCAGTAATAATGAACATCAACAGGATCTGTCCAATGTTGAAATAGGTAATGTCGACGACAAACCCACTTACGCTTTGGAACATTTAGCCACTTTCAAAATAAAGTATGAATCCGAGATACATAATCCAAAAGAAAAGCTAAAGATTCTAATGAAGTTGGATGAGTCAGGAGCCATTTGGTCTCAGAAAATGTATATGTCCTTTAGTGGACAATGGCTGGTAATGTTGGACTCTGAAATGAAGGAAATTGAAAATTTCCCAGGTTCTCTGATAAAAGAACCAATGGCGTTCATCAGTGAGGACCCATTAGAGATTTACAATAATATTCTCGTATTTACAGTACCAGGCGTCTCTTTGGGAACGACAGAAATGCACTTTTTTCAGGTAATATTTTACCTTGGTTTTAAAATTTTAGCTTAATAACATTATTCGAAATGAGTGTATTAATGAACACAGGTAACGAATGTGTCGTCAAAACATTTGGTTGAAGACTTGAAGCAATTGAGCACTGGCAAAACGGTGCTGATTGATCGAAATTTGACACCTATCAAAGTATTTAAAGCCGAGAAACCCTCCCATAATGCTCGCGATCAATATGGTATTGCTACAGCTGCTGCAAAAAAGGCTACACAAAGGAATGCACATGATGCTGAGCAAAGCGTGCGTGACATTCAGGTCTTAAATCATTGTTTCGAAGACATCGAAAGATTTGTAGCACGTCTGCAATATGCTGCAGAGGCACTGCGCGAATTAGAATTACGTCGTAATGATCACAACCCACATGGAGAGGGACTGCTAATATTACGGTCCCGCCCACCGATTGAAAGCGAGTTTTATGATATTTTTGCAAAAGTCAAAATGGCCATAAATTATGTTGTTAAGCTAAATCATAATTTCTCTAACGGAACAGAACCGATTTCTGATTTATTCATTTCATTGCGTACCATTGTGAATGTTTGTAATGATGTACATGTCAGTGCTAATATACCAGAGAATGTTGTAAACCCTCTGCTACGACGTGATACCATACAATTTTTATCTAGTTGTTTAAATGCATCGGACACTGATTTCTGGAGATATTTAGGAAAGAACTGGATTACAGCAAAGGAATATCATAAAGATCATAAAGGATCGTACCATCCGATATTCTACGATGATTGGTCACCGGATTGGATAGTTGACGAAGAAGTTACATATATAACCCCGCCAAAACCTAATTCTCCGGAAACTCCACGGATTTTAGCAAGTAATGCCGTTTGGCTATCACGTTTGCAATCAAGAAACGTGAAAATTGCAGAAGTGGTGTACAATAGCAAAGCAAATAACGATAAAGAGTTGAATGCTTCAATTGGAGAATATCTTGAGGTAAATGTATATTTCCTGTTTATAAAAATACCTATTACTAAGTTTCAAATAAAATTACTGTTAGGTTATAGATGATACACGTAACTGGTGGAAAGTCAGAAATTCAGTGGGCAACGTCGGTTATGTTCCGCATACAGTCCTTAAACCACATAACTTTGAGGGGCATTCCAATTACTCAATGAAGGATGCAGACTCTATTGCCTCATCTTTGCACGAAGCAGGTACTCATGCTTTTATTGTTTTAAAAAATATAATACTTGTATGTGTTTATATTAACACCATGTCAAAAACATATGTTTATATAAGAATAAAATTACAAGAATTTTTCTTTATTCTTTTACAGAGGCAATCAATGTGAACCAAAGCAATGCGAACAACGTATATCGAAATACACTCACTCCTTTTATTGATGGAGCAGAACGCGAATCGATGACTTCTAATAATATAGCAAAATCTATGCCACGCTCCTACAGTATGCCGAATGTTCCGATTCCACCCCCTATGCCTCCTCCAACAGATAGTGAAACACCGACACCAAGTGGCACTCTCAAGCGTAATATGGCTGCTGCTGGCAGTTTAGCAGGTATTTACGAAAATTACTTACGCGGCCAGTATTGCTTTGTTTATTACTAAGCCTAAATTAAAAGAAGTATGGAAGGGCTAAGTTCGGGTGCAACCGAAAAGTTTATACTCTTACAACTCACAAAAATTACTATATATACTATAAATACTATACATATACTATATAGTATAACTCTCAGAACCCTGATATTAGTTATATGGCGGGTAAGTCAAGTTTTCGCTCAAATTTTTCTATTTTAGACACAAAGAGACACTGATATGAGTAAAGTACGCTACTCACATATTGGCTGATATATGTATGTATGCAGTATAAGTATAAAGCTATATGAGGGCCAAAGGAAGTATTGGTCCAATTCAACCCATTTTTACCATACAGACATACCTTTATCAGAGAAGTTCTATCTCTGAATTTTAATTACACTGTGGAACATTTTTGTGATTATTGTCTGGGGGGTGAGAAATTCCAAGTCAGGGTGATGGTACTAGGTCAGTATAGTAAAACCCTCAAAGGGTTTGGCGTTCGTATGTGTCAGTTTTTTTGAAGTTATACTTCTTATACGAGTTCGGAAAAGGTTGCGGTAGATTTGTTGCGTTAACATAGTTGCGCAACCTTGTCGGCGAAGATGTTCGAGCAGTAAGCGAAGCGGTGACAATCGGCGATCGTTTGATATTGTAGTTTTTTTCGGCATAGCTCGGATTTTCTACCAACAACACAATGTTGGCATGCTTATGCTATTGTTGTTTTTGTAGAACAATGTTTAAATTTTTGGTTGGTGACATATTCACATGTGTACGCATATGTATGTTTATATGCTTGTGCATTATTTGTTTTTTCTTTCATTTCTGCGAATTCTCAACTATTTTGTGTGACTTTTGTTTGAAATACTATGCGTTAATCGCTGAAAAGTTAAGACGATAATTGACAGAATCATTTCAGTAGTCAGTCTTCATTTACTTTCTTTGCAAACCGAAAATGGTTTCACTCACCATTGACGAAGATATCGTTTTGTCTGATAGCGTGGGGTTTATAAACTTCATTTCTAATTTTGTCTTGTGACATATTAGAAATGATGTTTCTTTGATGATCGCTCGGTTACAATGGATAAAACGACTTCTGAGTGGCGATTTAATGAATAAATTCCAATGTTTTTACAAATACATCGTCCCCTCAATATAGCAAAAGCGTATAATTTTTTTTGGGTTGTGAGAAAATCGAGTTTAAAGTTTTTGTCAAATCAGATGTCTATTAAAACCTCAATATCTCGGTAAATAAAAATTCTTCATAGTGGATTTTTCGATGAGCACATTATACCGTTACTTGTCTTTAAATTTACCAAGTTTTTTTTATTCTACGCATCCTTTAAGACCATAATTATGTTATTCAAAGCGCAAGTCGTCCATATAGGCCATTTTATTTTTTAAGGAATTCGTATGATGTATCTGATACACTATTTTATTTTGTAAGGTATACGCTGTTTTATTCAATAATTTTACGGTATTTTTATTAAAATATTTGATCTCAAAAATATCAATTTGTAACATTATACAACAGTAATTAATTCATAGTTTTGTTAATTCAGTGGCATTTATTCATTACTTTCCAATTTGGGTTATTATAAACAAAAAATTATGACAAATGAAGGTATACATTGCGTAAATCAAAAATAACTACAAATTCCTCTACATCTGGCTCACCTAAACAATTTCGCTTGTTTCCACCTCGTAAGTTAAAAAAAAAATGACTGCGAGCCACGAGGAAGTACACTCTTTTTGCACAAATTTTGAAGATCATGCAGCTTTCGATTACAAATTGGCAGCTCTTTATTGTATTTGCAAGTAAACGAAAAGTTGCACACCTCTCTTGTTTTCCGCGTTCCTCCAATATCGATTACTTTCAAGTCTCCATCCCATTCCTCCTTGTATAATAACTGTTTTCGTTGAATTTTGTTCACTTGGAGTAATTTAACATTAAGCCAATTTACCGAGTCATTTTTTATATTTTTCTTAAGGCTATGGCCTAAACTCGAAAACATGTCTTTGAGATCAATAATATCACTGTATTGAAGCCTCTCTACAGCATATGGGTTTTTCCGTCTTGCCAGTCTCATTATAGGTGGCCATTCTTCCGGCGAATAAACGCATATACTTCTCTTCGCACGTTCTATTGCAGAGTGCATCGAATCTGCCTCCATTTGTGTGTGTCCACTTTGGAGGTACTTAATTGTTATCGAATTAAGCTTCAAGGTATTGTTGATATAAGTCAATAGTGTAGCAATGAACCTGTTTCTGTTTTGTCCCCCGCAGCAGTCCGAGTAGAGAATAACATCGGTTACCGATTCGTCTAACGAGTTCATCATTTTCCATATTGTGGTCCCAATTTCGTCCGATCCTCGTTGACCCTGATTTTCATCCCATAGAAAACAGYAACCTTCTCCACTGGCAATGTCGTAAAATGTGTTATTATACCTGGCGAACTTTCGACTGTAATACATCGTGCTTACGTTGCTACAAAGAGTCGTTAACACTGACTGGAGGGCAAAAAGTAAACACTTTTAAATTATTGTTACTTTTAGCTGATTCCTTGTCAGTTTGCTTGTTAGTTCCTGCCTTTGTCTTATTTAAGATGTGTTCATCATAGGATTTCTGAAATGAGCCTTTGTCCTCAGCGTTTTGTACCTCTCGCATGTTAAGCAGGCGTCCTTTTTCGGACAGTGGAAAGAATAATTATAATTCATGCAAAATATCCGGCGATAAACGTTTTCTTTAATGATAGCGTCCGGGTGGAGTTCTTTGAATAAATCGTACATTTTTGATATWKTTAAGTCGGAGGCAAGATAAAGTCGTTGACTTTTTGCTCGAGTGTAATGGCTTTCGACGGCTGGAAATGACTCGATGTGCTGTTTGATAAGCGCAACTGTCTCTTCGTCTAATTTTCTCTGGTGGCCATGTTGACCCCTCTTATCAGTAAATTCATTTTGGCACATCTTCTTGGCTAACGCAGGTATTTAAAAAAAACTTCTTGCATAGCTGTTTGGCTTTGAGAGTATAATTAAATGTGTTCGCCCGCCGTGATCCAAGTGTCAATGTCCTTTTGCACTTCTCAATTTTCACGCAAATGGCCAGGAACAGTCGCGGCCTCGAATAGTCCACTAAATTCCAATATTCTGCATTGATCTCTGTGCGCTCTTCTTCTGAGAAGTTTTCTGTGCAATTATGGCGGCACTTACAGTCAATGGGTTTCGGAACACGCTCTTCAACTCTTTTGCAACTCTTAGTGACATACGGGTTCCCTTTATTGCGATGATACTTCCTTTTCTTCTGCACCCATTTATGACTTTCAATCTATTGATCGGAAATATTTCAGAGTTAGATGTGGCTAGACCCAAACAATTTTTCTCAAAAGCTGTTTGCTGTACTCACCTTTCTCTTTCGCGTAAGTATATTTCTACCATTTTCATTCTTGTTATTGATATAAGTATCACCACAGTCTGCGATTTCTTCTAAAACTACATCTGCTGTCTTTATCACTGAATTATCTAATTCATCTGCCAAAGCCAGTGCATCATCATCCGAATCGGGGACATACTCGTCCGATCCTGCAGAGACATTATATAAAAGACGATACTCAGATGTTTAAAATCCATATTTTTGATGAACAAACTTTCCCAGCGAAATGAATTTGCAAGCTGAAATTTCAAATTTCATAGGCTACTATTCTTGTAAATTTCTGATAAAACTTTCGAATTTGTATTGAAAATAAAACAGCTTATGTGGAGTATAGAAATGGTCGGAATAAAACTATTTCTCAAACAATAGTGTATATTATTATAAGCTATTTTATGAGTTAAAGTTTTGATAAATTGTATTTATTTCGACAGGCTAAAATGGAATATAATAAGCATACACTATTATTCTTTTAACAACTTTGCTGTGGCAATTTCAAGCAAAATAGCGCATATGAGCTTATACACTTATTGAAGGAAATTTTTGAACATGAAATTATACACCATTTTTTCCAATGACATTTTGACCCACTTTGTGGAAGTAGAATTTGACGAAATTTTGACCAGACATAGAATCAATGATGGAGATTCTAAATATGCAATAAAAAAATAATGGCGCATGAGCACATATATTAAAAATAACACTAAAAAAAACTAAATTAGATTATACATTACTTTTTCCAATCAGTATTTTGTCGGATAGCCTTTTGATTCAAGCACAGCTTTAGATCTTCTAGGCAGACTACCGACCAAACGCTGACATCGTTCAGTTGATATGCTCTGCCATATTTCCTTGACATTTTTGAAATATTTCGTCAGCATTTTTGCTTGATTTTTTCCCCAAGCCATTGGATTTAAATCCGGACTCTGGGCAGGCCAATCTAAAGCCGTAATGTTTTCGGACGAAAGCCAAGTTTTAACACTCCAAGCAGTATGCTTGGGGTCGTTATCCTGCATAAAAATATATGGTTCAGGTATGCAAATGTCTTCATTGTACATCTTTATATAAATATTGGTCCATTCTTTGAGTTATCCGTCGAATAGGACCTACACCGTACACCGTACACCATAATACTGCCTCCACCAGACTTAACCGTTTTTAAAGTGTATCGAGGGTGAAATTCCTTGTTTGGCGGGCGTCGAACAAATTGTTTCCCATCTGAACCATATAAATTAAGCTTGAATTCATCGCTCCACAGTATTTGTTTCCAAAAATCTAAGGTTTTGCCGATATGCTCCTTTGCAAATTTAATACGACTCTTCAAGTTTTTGTTTGATACGTGCGGTTTTTTTCTTGCGACACAATCCAGTAGCCCATTTTAAAGAAGCCGACGTCTGATGGTTCGTGTTGAAACATCGTTGGTCAGTTGTCCTTTAACGTGCCAAGAATTTGCCTGGAAGTTAAAAAAGGATTCGCCTTGCAAACTCTGCAAATTACGCGATCGTTTTTTGAAGTAGTTTTTCGGGGTCGTTTTCTTCTTATTTTATTCCCTGTACTTCCGTAATGAATCAAAGCATTGTAAACCTTTGACTTTGAGCACAAAAGTTCCTTCGCTACGGTTCTAATGGACATTTTTTCCTCCACGTACTTGTAAATAATAATTTTCCTCAAATCTGGAGTACAACTTCTTTTTCGACCCATATCTAACAGTTTTATTGTTTGAATTTGAATATTTAGATGATATACAAATGTTTTACACAACTTACCGCAAGTTTTTGTGTTAAAATAATAAAAGTTCAATAAAAAAAAATGTGTGTCCTTAATTATATGACCAAGGACCAGCACACTCAAAATACAATAAATTCATCAAACCGCCGAATTTTAGTAAAAGTGTCTAAATTTTTCACAAAACCTTGAACTGAAACGCGTGCTTTATTCAACTTTATTTTGTCCCTAATTATGTGGCCACCAGTGTATATATAACATGTACAGCACGCATACGTATGTTTGTATGCTTGCGCATTATTTTTCTTTCGTTTTTTCTTTCGTTTGTGTTTCATTTCTGCGAATTCTCTACTATTTTGTGTGACTTTTTGAAGTTATACTTCTTATACGAGTTCGGAAAATATTGCGATAGATTTGTTGCGTTAACATAGTTGCTGTCGGCGAAGATGTTCGACATTGTATAAACCTACCTAGGACATTGTATAACCCTAGGTAGGTTTATACAATGATGTTCGAGCAGCAAGTCAAGATGAGTACACAGGTTCACTTCGTTCGGGATTTGTTTTTAATTTTTGCCATTTATTTTTCCGTGAGAATAAATTGTAAAATAAGAATTTTTCATTATTTTGTCATTTTTGTTGAGCTGCCGGCACTGTTGCAGCATTTCTTCCAAGCAGTTTTGCCATCGTGACGAGAAATTGTTTATGGGCAGCGACGCTTGTGTACGAAGATCTGTGTTGGTTTTTTTAAAATATTTAAAACTCATTTTATTTCTTAACTTTTTTCCCACTACAATTACTTACTTATAATGCAATAAATGCTTGCAACAATTAAAACCATACACATTAGTATCACGGTACTGCAAACAAAAAAAGAAAAAATGTTCTATAAATGCGATCGCATTGAAAGTCGGGCAGAACACCTGCGCGAAACGGAATGAAATATTTACCGTTAGGAACAGAAAAAATATGATTTTTAAATCGAGCAAATTTTAGTTGAAATCAAGGTTTGAAGAACATTCGTTCTCCTGGTTTTTGAAATGTCACGTAAAATAAAGCAGTCAACGATCGAAGAGCTAAAATTGGTCATTTATCACCATTCAAAAGGTAAAACTGAACGAGAAACTGGGGTTTTAGTAAATAAAAATAAGTCGACTGTACATGATATCATAAGCAGATATAAAGACAGCGAAAGAATACAAAATAAGCAAAGAGAAACAGCTAAAAGAAAATTAAGTTCGAGAGATGAAAAGTCTATTTTAAAAGAAATTCAAAAGGATCCGTTTTTCTCCGCCCCAAAACTTGCTACATCTGTCAAAGAAAATTGTGGGATTAGCGTTTGTGCGGAAACTGAAAGAAGAGTGTTACGGAAAAACAACTTAAATGGACGAGTGGCGCGAAAAAAGCCCTGGATTAGTGCAAAAATAAAAAAGATCGGCTTGATCTTGCGCGCGAATACAAAACGAAAGACTTCTCATTTTGGAGTCTGGTAAATTGTAAATGCAATTATGTTTGAACATTTCCTAAAAAGTAAATTATATTATTTTAAGGTTCTTTTCACAGGTGAGAGCAAATTTAATTTGTTCGGATCTGACGGCAGGCGTTTTGTGTGTAGAAACGTAGAATATAAAAATAAAAACACGAAAAAGACCGTTAAGCACGGAGGAGGTTCCATAATGGTCTGGGGATGCATGGCGGTCTCTGGTGTGGGCAAACTCCATTTTATTTAAGGAATAATGGATAAAAATATTTATTTGAATATATTGAAGGCAAATGTGAAGGAAAGTGCGCGTATGTTGGGTATTACTGATAATTTCAAGTTTTATCAGGACAAGGACCCGAAGCATTCCTCGTTGTTGGTGATGACTTGGTTGCTGTATAACTGACTCAAGGTCATAAAAACTCCAGCGCAAAGCCCCGACCTTAATGTGATAGAGCATATGTGGGATGAGCTAGGTCGCAGGGTTCAAAATAGGAGGTGCACCAACAGAGATCTACTTAAAGCTGTGCTCCAAGAGGAATGGACGAAAATAACTCCAGATGTTTGTCGTAAACTGGTTGAAAGTATTCCTTATGGACTTCAAGAAGTGGATACGCAACAAGATACTAAACATCGCACTTAGTACAAACACAAGCCAAAAGGAAATGTGTTGCCCGACTTACAATGTGGCCATATTTTTAATGAATTTTTACATTTTTGTTTTTGAGCGTCGTTATGTTAATAAAATAGAGCTAGTACTAGCTGTGAAATATTGCTGAATAAATAAGCTTTTAAAACCATTTCTTGTTTTTTGAAAACAGTTTACATTTCTTTAAAAAAATATCACTTCAACCTATTGCATACTTTTGCCCGACTTTGGATGTGAGCCACTGTACGTATGTTGTTGCTGTTTTTGCTTCTTTCAAATTTTAAAACTTTTTGTGACCACATACACGTGTTTCTTTGTTTGGCTGAAGTCATATTTATGTTGGTATGGTTGTGATTGACAATTCGCTGTGTATTTTGTTAATGTAAAAGCAACAATATGCCTCGCATAATAACAGAACTACTTTCCGAGTAAAAATTCCTTCATTTATATTTTGCTTAATAAAATGTGCAGAATAAATTTATAAAATGTAAATTCCTTCATTTATATTTTGCTTTATAAAATGTGCATAATAAATTTATAAAATGTAAATTTAAGTTTTCTAGATTTCTTTCATACAAAATGATATGCATTTCTGGGAATATCACTAAGAAGTATAACTTCATCCGAGCGTAGGGACTCCACGCACCTTGTTTTTATGACCTTATGACCCCTTTTTTCCTTCTATTGATGATTTTTCGCTTAGTTATAAAGACCGTTTTGGCAAAAAACAAAAACAAAAAAAAAAGGGGTTTGTTGGGAAAGCATCGTAGTACAACTACGATGTTTCTGTCGCAAGGATGTTAAGAGCATTCTCGGAAATTGTTTTTTTTTT